CGAGTGAGGGTAAGATCAGCTACTGTCCTTAAATTCAAACTTGGGGATTTTGATGTGATCACCATAACTCAAATGTCGGACTGAAAGACTCAGTTAAAAATATTTGAATCATATTTGTAGTTTATTCAAGTATGCTTTGTCATTCGATTTGAACTACCGGTACTTTAAAACAAAAAAGGTGAAATTGTAAAGTTATGCATGTAACTCTAGATGAAGAGAAAGCTCTTGCAATAGTGTTTGCACTAAAGAAATTCTACATGTACATGGACATAGGTTCACATTGTTTACAGACAACAAGCCATTGACTGCTCTGTTGGGTCCGCATAAAGGATTACCAATTCTTGCCGCTGAAAGAATGCAGCGATGGGCCATGTACTTGGCTGGATTCGATAACAATATTTGGTACCGCACTTCAAAATAAAATGCAAATGCGGATTGTTTGTCAAGGCTTCCGGATGCTGAAGCCGAGCAAGTGACATGCGAACCGGTCATATCAGTTTTCCATACAAATGTATTATCGTGTACTCTGGAAGAAATCCGAAACCAAACACGGAACGACAAGGTCATGTCAAAGGTCATGGAGGGATGGCCAAGAGTCCTAACCGAAGATGAAGGTCACTTGAAACCATTCTATACTCGTAGACATGAGATTACAATAGAACACAGAGTTCTGTTGTGGGGAATGCGAGTAATCATTCCACCTAAATTGCGTAGCGCGGTTCTCTTGGAACTGCATGAAGGACACCTCGGGGTCGTCAAAATGAAATCCATAGCTAGAAGATACGTGTGGTGGCCTCAGATAGATAGACAAATTGAGCAATGCGTGAAAGAATGTGGCTCATGTCAGAGCATACAGAACAATCCAGGGCCAGAACCGTTACACCCGTGGATACCGGCATCCAAACCGTGGGAACGCGTACACATAGACTTTGCAGGTCCTTTCGAAGGGGTGACATATTTGATAGTAGTGGATGCGTATTCGAATTGGCCAGAAGTTTTTTGTTATGCCGAATATGATATCAGAGACAACTATTTCTAGACTAAGGGCACTGTTCAGTAGATATGGCATACCGCAGATTTTGGTTTCAGATAACGGGACTCAATTTACATCTAGCAAGTTCCAGCAGTTTGTCGAATCAAACGGTATCAAGCACAAATTCAGTGCACCTTATCATCCGAGTTCCAATGGACAAGCGGAAAGATTTGTTCAGACACTTAAACAGGCACTTCGCGCAGCTAGGAAAGATGGAGGCTCAATCCAGGCCAAACTAGGAAGGTTTCTATTTGCATACAGAAGTGCATCTCACTCAGTTACGGGGGAGACTCCAGCTACCTTGTTAATGGGTAGACAGTTGCGAATGCGGCTAGACAACTTGAGACCGGGTATTGAATTGCGATACAAAGATCAGTTGTATAAACAGGCATGTCGTAGAAACAAGAACAGGAAATCAGTATTTACAAGAGAGTTTGTAGATGGAGACAAAGTACTTGTTAGGAACTATCTAAGCAAGGAAAAATGGGTACCTGGTACTGTAGTTGGTAGAGAAGGTTCAGTCAATTACAAGATTCAAGTTAGAGAGGGAGTGTGGAAAAGACACATAGAAAAAATCATTCCAATATTGAAAACAGAAGAAACTAGAGAAACAACGTCCAATGTTCAGTTCGATAGATGACAGTAGTCAGTTGAGGGAAGGTTTTCAGTTCAGCAGGCAGAATGCAGAATCTGATACTGTAACAAACCAAAGTGTAAGTCAGGAACAAAATGTGGTTCAAAGTGATGATTCCCAGACAGATGATACAGATAGGTCAGAAGTAGCAGATGAAGTAGTGAAGGGTGACTTAGGAAACAATAAGTTACCAGAGATGGAGTTGAGAAGTTCTAAGAGGAAGGTTAAACCTCCTGCTAGATATATGTTGTAGGGTTAGGAGAAGATCAAAAAGAAAAGATACTACAGTGTTTCTTATTCATGATAAGTCTCGGATTAAGTACATGTTATTGGTTGCGTTATATTGGTTGTGGACATTGCTAAATGTAATGCTTTGTTATTTGCATGAAGAAACAATGATATCATGCTTGAAACAAAACACAATCAATGTACTCAACATATGAGAACATAGCTCATGGTATGGATTCTCAGCATTAAACTATATTTCATTGTAACAGAAAACAAGTATTGAAACAGATTGGTTTAAAATATATATTGTATTCGAACATATATGGAAGTATATCAAAAGAGTGAATATTCACGTTTTTGGAAAGTTATGAATAGAAATACAACAGGATTGATAATACTACATATCACATTACAAGTGGAGTTTAACTTGATACATGTGGATTATAAAAACTTTGGATATTATAAGAAGTAATTCTTTATCACAAAGGTTGGTGTGCTGGTAACATAGTTGTCAGTATATGCAGTTTAATACGAAGGCTGATTTTATTTGCCAAATTTAGGTTAAAGGTACTTAAGATTTGGTGGGGGAGAGTTGTTGTGTATTGACAAATGGCGTTCTATAGTTTGCCGCTATTGCTACTACTTTGTGCTAGCTGCGTGTTACACGTGAATAACGTGCTCTTCATTAAAACAATGAAGATACCACCACAAACGATTGTGTCTCTGGTAGTTATTGAGTAGTAGAACCCAACAACCAGGTTGGGAAATCTGTTGGACTTCCTGATGGAGGAAAAGCGGCCGGTGGGTAAGGTAAAGGAAGCTTTCCAACAATGCAACCAGGCCTACCTAGAGCTTCAATCTAAACACGAGGAAGAATTTACAAAGGAGGAGCTATGGCTTGAAGAGTGTCAGAAATGTTTCTGCAAGCTCCAAATCAGAGAGAAGGATTATGTCTCTCAGATGTCTTTGTCGCAAGAGCCGTAACAATCAACAGAGAGAGAAGAGGAGAGTTCCCAGAGAACTGCTGTTCAAGCAGAGTCAAACCGGCCTCAACCTCCTCGCTTCAACATGGAGAGGCCCAAGTTACCAACATTTTCAGGGGACATAAGAGAGTACAATGTATTCAAGGCTGATTTTCAGCATGTTATACATCCACATTACGGTGGGTGGGATGCATTGATGATCCTGAGGTCTTGCTTGAAGGGGAAGCCACTTCAACACATCAGAAGAATAGGGCGAGACTATGAAGCTGCTAGGGGTCAGCTAGATAAGTCCAGATCCGCAGTAAAGCAGCTCACAACAGTTGAAGAAAGACAGCAAGATTATCGCTGCTGGATCTACAAGAGTAAGGATGGGCACTGGACTGATCAATGCAAGACTTTCCTTCATAAGTCTCCGGCAGAGTGATTGGCGTTGGTGAAGAGCAGCCGAGCTTGTTATAGCTGTTTGAAGCAAGCCGGTAGAGAGCATCGAATGGCTACTTGCAAGAAAAGGAGACGGTGTCCAGAGACATACAAAGGGCAACCGTGCAAGTTCTTCCATCATCCACTGTTACATCCCAGTATGGACAACAATGGGAGTAGCCCTTGTAAGAGGGACGGAAGCCATGCTACCCGTCATCAGGGCAAGGTTCACAGGTTTACAGCTAAAGAGAGAAGGAAAAATGCTCTTACATTCAGGGGCCCAGATCAGCATCATCCGCCAAGAGCTTGCTGAAGATTTGAGAAGATTTGAGAGCATCAGCATCACAATTACCAAGGTGGGCTGGGAGGAGGAATTTCTGAAGATATCACTGTATAGAGTGCCAGTCAGCTCTGTAGATGGCAAGACTATCTGCAAGATTATAGCACTAGGGTTACCATGCATGAATGATGACATCAGGGAGGTGAATGTTGCTACTCTTTGCCCGTCAAGTACGCCTCATCCCAAGAGAGATACACAGAGGTAGTGGATCAATAGATCTACTCATGGGAATTAACCTCACTAAGATGCATGTAGGTGAACAAGACAGCGAGGCAACTTCATATTTAGGAAGTCACCACTTGAATGGGTTGTGTCTTCTATAAGACCATAATGGGGGAAAGGGAGCCTGGGCTCCCCCCAAAAGGAGAAAAAATTCAGGAAATTATCAGGCCTGATCAACCAGTCACAAAGACCGATGTCAGAACATCATGGAATTGAGTGGGTATTACTATTACAGGAAGTTCATCTTGAACTTCAGCAAGTTGGCAGCCCCACTCTCAGATCTCACTCGTAAAAGTGAACCCAGGTTAGTAAAGTGGAATTGAGAATGTATCACAGAGCTAGAAGCTTTGAAGGATGCTCTTTCCAACTAAAGCTTGGTGCATGATACATTCACAACTTCAACTGGTACATCACGTTTTAAAGAAAATTGTTGCGCCCATGTCATGCTAAAAAGCATCACATCATGCCAAGAATATATTCATTTTATCTCTTGTACATTTTCGTAAGGAATGTTGTACATCAAAGGGCAGGAATATATGTCATTTTTCCAAATACCTACACTTATACTTTGGGGTGAGGTTTCTTTAAGGGTTTGTGCATACATTATTAAACTGGCCTAATGCCGGGTTACTCTCATTACTAATTGAAAACTTCAAATATTGGCAGTTATGAATATGCTATTGATAATTTGAGTAGTGTCCCAAGAGAGAAGGCATTTAGGTGAACAACAGAAATTAATGATATTTGTTTACATGGCAAATGCCAATTTGAGATTCGTATAGACTTAGTGATTTTATCATCAAACATTCATGGCTTTCTTACTATTGGTCTGATTTTTTGCCATTCTGTTTATCTCATTTTTCTGCTCTCATACTAGCAAACTTATCACAACTAATACATGGGCTGGATTGCCCTTTAATATAATCCTTCATTTCTTTAGAATTACTCATTGATATCCATTAACCTTTTCACACTTACAACGTTTAATTCCATATTGCTTCCCTTTTTCTCCTATTCTGACCTACATGAAATGTAAATGTGAATACATCCTAGTATAGATTATTCTAGAAGCCAAGTTCTTTTCTCTCTTTCTCAAATGAGAGATTTCTTTTTAACAGTCCCAACTATTAAATCGGTGTGTTAATTGATTTTCAAGCAACCAATATTTACCTGTATTAACCACAATTGCATGTATGTACAAGAACATCCCTCATGAATCAGCCTTAGGAGATAATTCCAAAGATATCTGTTAAACAATTTACTTCACTAGCTTGCTATTTAGACATTCTTTGAAGAAGTGTGCAAAGGTTTCTCTTGACCGGTTCTCATGAGGAAGATCAGGGGGAGAAAGACTACCTCTCCTCAACTCATCAAGTATGGCTGCCTTGCCTTGGTTTAGCTCCGAGGCCAGATCTTTACGTTCAGTACTGGTCAGGTTCCCTGTAAATCATATTCAAGACCATAAGATTATTAATGATCATCCTCTTCATACCGGTATATCCTTAATACCAAATAATTTTTAGTTACAGGTTGTGTTGAAATCAAATTTGTTTTGGCTTTGAAAGTTAGCGAAGCTGCTAGCTTTCTAAGCTTACATTTTATCCAAGCTGCCATCGCTCTCTAGAAACTTTGTCAATTTTATGCGAAAACTAAACTCATATACATCTGTATAGCCAGAGATAGAATTTAGATGTGTATGGCATTAAACAAGATTCACATCGAACTGTTATAATTAAGTAGTCTTGTACTTTAGGTACAAAATCCTTAAAAAATTAATCCTTATCATTTCCATGACAAAGAAATTTCAGCCATTTGCAAAACTTCATTTCTCTTTTTTTAATAAATAATACTACCAGTAATAAATAGAAGGAAAAAAAAAACTATTTAGATCCCATGACATTTTCTGGTTTTACATGCTTAAAACTGATTAGTCTCTTGTGCCTGACCTTTTGATGTAGCCAAAGTTTCAGATATGCACTTTCTCAGAACTTGGTCAGCCTGGTGGAGAAGACTAGCAGCACATTCAGCTCTGCTTTGTTCCTATAAGAAGATAAAACATAGGCAGCAGACTAGAAAAAAGAACTCATGTACATGAAGAATAGTTTGGCTCTTTAATCCTTTTCATGGCACCTTTTCATCAACCAAAGACTTGGAAGACCAGCTGACAGGTCTCTACAGGGAGCGCAAACGTATTGACCTAACTATGCACAAAGAGAAAACTAAATATATGACTAACTATGACACAGATGAAAACATCGAGATAGAAGGTCGAATGTTAGAAAGGATCTAGAACAGAAGCTTGTGACTACTCAACGAGCTATGGAGAGAAAGATGTCGCATTTATCTCTGCAAGACAAAATCAAACACAAAGTCAAACACCAGAAAACAAAGGTTAAAGACATCATGGAGAAAGTCAGAGAATCAAAGTGGAGATGGGCAGGGCATGTAGCAAGACTTCAGGACGATAGATGGACAAATCGTTTAACAGAATGGCAACCAAGGATGGTAAAGAGAAGAAAAGGAAGGCAGAAGAGAAGATGGAGAGATGACCCAACACAATACATGGGAACGGCCGCTTGGACTAGGACAGCTACCGACAGAAGAGAATGGAAATGTTTTGAGGAGGGCTTTGTCCAACGTCTGGATGAACTATAGCCTGATAGATAGATAGATAGATAGATGGCACCTTGTCTTAAGCCACAGTAATTATAGTATTCAGTGCCTTGTATATATATATTCATAAATAAATCCAACCATCTATTACATCTGTCACACTACCTTGTCAAGAGAGATAACTGTCAATAACCTGTCTTGTCTGAGGACATAATCACTAGCCTTACATTCAGTCTCAAATTCAAAAGGTAATACAAAGTTTCGGGAAATTTCGAAAATTGGATTGATAGTAATTCTTTACAATTTTGATATATTTGGATACCCCTGTGGATGTATTACAAGCACTAGAAAATTTAGCCCCTAAAACACTTCTGCTTTTGAGAAAATGAATTATCAAAAATTTACTGGTGCTCCTGGTAAATTTCAAATATTTCAAATAGCGCCTAAGGCCATCCCATGGTAGCTGCGACCATGAAAATCTCAGAATATGCAGTTCTGACATATAATTTCCAAAAGGGTAATAGCAAATTGGTTGATCGTAGTCAAAAATTGTTTTATAGCTAAAGTTATATCAGTCTTGAGAGGGCGCTACACAACATAAAGAGTTTATTATCTACAATTTCATCACTTTATACTTGTTTCAACCGTGACAACGATCATTGGATATTGTAAAATCGCATATGCTTCCAATATGTTCATTTGAACCAAAGTCATGACCCCATACCAAAACTTTGTAATACCTTTAATTGAAAGATGAATATACATGTATCACTAAACCAACATGTCCTTAAAACAAGAATTACTGCAGAACTTACCTTTGCTTCTTCGTCTTCTTCAATGAGGGGTGGAACAGGAGTGAGGAAAGAGGACTGCAGCATCATCCATACAGGTGCACTGGGAATCATTAACAAGAAAATAGGGGTTTTATTCTTTAATAATGCATTTGAAAGAAGTAATTGTGACTTTTCTGAATGTGTGGTCAAAGGGGCAAGACAAACATATTTGGTCATTCTGTCTCCTACTTTACCAAGTAAAATGAAATAATGGTTAAAGATCACAACCAAAGAATCGTATCCCTTGATATGTAGTCTCAGCTACGCTCTGGTAAACTGATGCAACCATCGGGTATACTAAAATAATAATATTGATGCAGTTGGTAATGTATGGAGGGAGTACCCTGGCTTTGTCCTAAAACTGAATTATTGAAGCATCTACCTTTCTCATTGGCCCATACTTAAAGAGAAGTTTCATTGATTTTAAAAACTAACTTTGTTGTCATAATTGCAAAGGTGAAACTTTGATTGGACAAGGTTATCAAAATTCAATGTTTTGAAACATTTGAAGTAATGATTATCAACAATCACAGAACGCTTAGATACAGCCCCGGCATAGCACCTAAACAGCTCTCCGATCACTGCTGAGATGTGTGACGTCACATGTTGAACATGATGTGCACAAGCAGACGATGTCCCATGACATCTCACATAATTTCAGTGCCTGTTTTGTCATCTTTTCTTCAGTTATTTCTCTTACTTCACTCCCCTCAGGCGAAATGTTTAATCTGTTGCCTCACTCTAAACCCTGTGCATGGTATTATTTTGATGAAAAATGCAAGGATAAGGAAAAAAAAGGAATCCGTCGCTTGTAAACAAAATAAAACACCATTGTATTTTCAGCTGCATACACCACGCTATGTTCGGAGTTTCAAGAGGGAACAAATGCCGTTCATCCTATCATTCTGGAGGTTTTTTAATTTAAAAGTGTGGTTTCTTTGATTGTTCATTAACACCAATCCTGTGTATTTTCAAACAAAAGAATTTAGTTATCAGAATGGGGGTCATATCCCTTTTTGAAAGGTGTAAAATTCCATCACATTTATTTACACTAAACTCATTATAATTTGAGAAATAATAGCATTGCAATTAAGCTCATTCTTTATGGGATGTCGTCTGCTTGGGCAGGGTTGGTTCATATTGTGACGGCATTAAAACATCGTTATTTTTCTGTCGAATCTCTCGCATATCCCAGATGCTATGGAGGTTGTTTTATTTGTATTTTTATAAATCACCCGATATGTAGTTGACCTAAAACTTATATGATGGCCATCTGTTAGCTTACCAGTTTCTAGTGATTTGTTAATTGCCATATTTGTGATTTTTTTTTTAACAGGCACTTTAAGAGAAAATTTGAATGTTACTTGGTTTTAGCAATCTTAATTTGGGCTTGGTTGTCACTGCATTACATATCAAGCCGTTACACCCAGCTTTTATCAGGGCTAATTCATTTTGCACAATGCCTGGACACTATCTTGCACATTACAATCGCTAGGTGTAAAACTAGCTATTCAGACACTTACAGAATACCATGGTTAACTTCTTCATCAGCATCAATGAGGATAGAGTTCACTTCCCATGGTGCTTTACTTGCATCAGGTTGCTCAAGTCTAGTCGCCATGGTCACGATGGTTTCTTCAGGAATTCCATTCTTTCTTTTTGCGTTTCTTTCAATGGCAATGTCTGTGCTGCATTCAAATCCAATTTGGCAAAATCCAGTTGAGTCTGTACAGGATTAATATAAAAAAAGTTCCAAAATTCAGGTCAAGAGATATGAAAATGTTTTTACGTTTTAATAAGGAGGTATAGCCAGGGATGGCAATTGCCCGGGAAATACCAGGAAATAGTGGGGAATACCTGTGAAATACATCTACTATCCTTAATAATCCATATCATTGAATTTGTATGTGAAATAGCAAACACAGCAATCTAACCAATTTTTTAAAGGCACAAATTCAAGACATGCTGCACCACCTTCTTCGGTTGGCTCCCGGCAGTACATACATGGTTGAAAACCGTATCATACAGAATATAGTTCTTTGAGGTGTACAACAAAATTATTTCTACTTTTGAAACCTTACGATCTTACAAGTTATGTTGCGTTTAAACCAGTGCAGTTTTTTCCCTTTTTGATTTTTGTTTTGTTTTTAGTTTCCTAGAGCTTATTTGCCCCATACAAATTATTCCCTACAAAAGTACTTACACTTGCGAGCAAGTTGATACAGGTTGTATCTCATACTCCTATAGAACATGTTATCATCAATAAGGAAGATCAGATTGCTCTCTCCGCCGTTCACTCTAGCTGCTGCTTCTGATAAGCATCCAACTACCTTCAGCCATACTTCTCTCTGTACAGCTGAAATATCTTGGTTGACATTGGTTGTAGAGATGGCATTGCCACATTGAAGATCTGTAATTATTTGATGTAATGTTCTGTCTTTCTCTGTCAGTTCTCCAACAATGAAATCTAAGCATTTCACTATTTGATGTCTGTATTCCTTCCAGAGAGAATGTTTCTGATGTTTGGGAGAAAGAAAAAAGATTTATCAATTAGTGAGGAATCATTACTACTTTACCTAGGCATAATGAGGTACCGGTAGTCATGTTACCTTGTTAGGTTTTTCCTCCTTATCTTTGTCTGCATTAGATTGGCAGATATGGAATACTGTCAGAGAGACGGCTAACAAAAGACACATGAAGAATCGTTAGGGAGTGCTGCATTTTATGGTTTTTGTTTTTAAATATTTTAGATTTAAATTTGCTTTCATATAGACAGTTAAAGGGGATAGGTGACAGTTATTAGTGCCACTGCGCATAGTCATTTATGAGTATAATGCAATGTGTCCATGTGGGTATTTTGTGTGCATGGGAGCTTGAATGTGTTTAGGAGTGAATGGGTGCAGGGAGGTGAAAGAAAGGAGTGGAATCAAGCCGCTCTCCTTTGACCTAATGCTCCAAGCCGCCGAAAATTTATGCGCTAATCTGCAACTGTTGACCATGCAGGTGGTGAGATAAAAGAGCGCATAAAATTTCAGGATTTAGAATTCCTACATCAGAAAATGGTATCCCAGCAACTGTTCGCTGTCCCTTTCAATGGTTTCTCATCAATTGTTGAATGTGTAATGAGTTGAACAAGGGAACACAAACTTGTGTAATTTCATCCTTTTTTCCAACTGCAAAAAAAAAAAAAACGCGAAAACATGCGTGCAGTCCATATTGAGGAGGCGAGTTGGCTCAGTCGGTAAAGCGTCTGCCTGTCGAACCAAAGATCCCGGGTTCGACTCTCACCCAGGCGGATGACTGAAGCCTGCGTTGTGTGTTAACGTGCCCCTTCCCTTGTTCATAGATGCAGGTTATGTCAAGTGGAAAACACTCCGTCCCTCGGATAGGACGTTAAATGGAGGCCCCGTGTACAGGAGAGTCACAACCCTTGCACGTTAAGAACCCATTGCACTATTCGTATAAGAGTAGGGGGAAACCCCGGTGTAATGGTCCACCTGCCCAACCAGGCCGAGTATACGGCATCTGCAAGAATCTTCAGTATTGAAGGAGGCAGATTATCTCGAAGAAGAAGAAGAAGAAGATAATTCCCCATAGGTTATCGAAGATATCGATAGTAAATCATGGATTAAATAACGGGACATTAAAACATGCACAAATTAGCGCATTATCCTAAAATATGGAGGTTTTGTCAGGCTCTAATTTTTCTTTTACTAACTCTGGCAGACAAATTATAGGAAGGGCGGAGTACCAACTTTGAAAATTGTTTGATGCACTATTTCCAATGCAATCCCCATATCAAGTTTGTAATTTACAATAATTTGTAATAAATGTGAAACAGGTGCCTGGCGGTTTGGGTATGTTTTAGTAGGGTATCTCCATGCCAGAGTTACGGGTCAAAGTCTGGATATGATTCTGAACTAGCGCCAAAAATAGGACCAAACCTGTGGTTTGAATCGTTTCCCAGTTTAGGATCTTGAGTTAGGTTTTGACAAGTCTTTTTGACTTCAGGGCTGAGTTCAGTACTTTCCATTGCTGATTGCACTTTCAGCATTTTCACTTTGGTGTGTTTGTTGTTGTTGTTTTGTCTGTCTCAAATGACTGTGATTGAGTGTTTCAAGAGTTGTAGAGTCTATACAAACCTGCGTCCGGTAGTCTGATGCAACGACCTGAATTGTTTGGTCCAGATTCCGTGGAATGATTGTATCGTAACAAACGTGCACAATAGCAATTGCACATCCAGGGCCAGTGCATCCACCACCGCTACCTTTCACGGTCGCGAGTTCTGACAACAGTCGGCAAAGAGTTGTCTTTCCTGAAGCTGGCAAACCACACATTGCACATAAACATATATTGGCGGACGCCATTTCTAAAGCTTAGTTCGTATTTTCAATGAATTGCATGAATGTTGAGCAAAGACGAGTAAAATTTACGTGTTTCAATGGGAAGTCGCATCGCAGATCCCCCCGAAATCCTCAAGCCACACTAAACAAACGTAACATGAGTTCTGCTTCAGTGCTTGTTATGATTTGGATAGAGTATGGAACGCTATACGTGAGATCATGCATCGAGAATAATATTGAAATCGGATTGGTTAAATTAGCTTTATACGTTGTACATGGTAATGCTCGCATTATTTTCCGCGTTTGAGCTTGATTTATTTTCATCCAAAGAGATTTTGATAAATTACATATAAGTCATCGGATTGTTGTACATTGAGCATTTAGACATTTCTATTTACTAACAATTTCACAGTAGATCAGTAATGATTTATTTGTTGTTGCTCAATTTGATATACCTGCTGAGACCCCATCTTTCAAATTCAAGCAATATGCACCATTCACTATATGTTTTCATACCATTAACTCACTCCATCCTCTTGTATTTCTGGTTATTCTAATATACTAATAGTACAGTTAACAGTGAGCCAACTAATGCATCTATTTGATACGCTACCTCGATCCCTACACTTCTTCTTCGCCCCCCCCCCCCCGGCCTCCCCAATTTTCCCAGTCATGTCCTATTTTATGTGCCTTTTTTCAATTTATGTCCAACCAAATGAAGTTTTCTTTATCTTAGGTTTCACACAAGCTCTCCCTTATTTTACAATCTGTCACTCCGTGATATTCCCAGTATTCTCCTCAAGAATATTATTTCTGCAGCTTGAGGGTTCACCTTGATACTAGCTAGATTGGTATGAAGAAAATCAGACAAAATAATGAGACAACGTTATGACGTATCTTGCGAGCTCCTTATCCACTTGCTCTGTAAGAAAGAAGAAAACGAAATTATATATATCAGGCGCGGATCCAGGATTTTCCAAAAGGGAGGGGGGGGGGGGGGGGATATATCGAAGGGGGCGGAAATTTGAAAATCGTGCAGACCGTTATTTCAACACAACTTACCAATACTGACAGGGTCATATTAAGCACCGTAACAGTATACCTACAAGCGGGTACAATTTTTGGAAAGGGGGCAGGCTCAAGTCACTCTTGTCTTGTCTCTTGTCAGATATCAACATTCCCCGAAGCGTCATTAAACAAAATTTGTGACATTTTCATCAGGGGGGGGGGGGGGGGGGGGGTGGGGGGGGGGGGCTGAAGCCACCTGCCCGAATATCAATTGTCTGGTTTGTAGAATTAATACTATTTTCTGAATATTGAATATATTGGGTACAATTTTTGGAAAGGGGGCAGGCTCGAGTCACATCTCTTGTCAGATATCAACATTCCCCGAAGCGTCATTGAACAAAATAGTGACATTTTCATCAGGGGGGGGGGGGGGGGGGGGGGGGGGGGGGGCTGAAGCCACCTGCCCGAATATCAATTGTCTGGTTTGTAGAATTAATACTATTTTCTGAATATTGAATATTCATAATCATTCATTTTTATATAAATAGTTAATCAAATTCCATATTTTTTCATGATTTAACTTTAAAAAAATTACTCTATATTAGTACACACAAAAACATAACTATTACTATCAATATAACTTGGATGCTGGTGTGAGCAAATAAGATTTTTTTTGGGGAAAATTAGAAATTTATATTATCAATAAAAAAAATTAAAAAATTAGTAGACATTGAGGCAATGACGTCACAGACTCATGAGTGAGTTGCCATTTTTTTTTTTTGTGATTTTAAAAGTTTGTCATGTCATTCATAATTCAAAACTTTCTTATTAGTTATCCGATTTTGATTGGTTTGTCTGAAAATTGTGCCCGCTTGTAAATACCGGTACGGTGCTTCAATATGTCCTTGTCAGTATGTTGAGTTGAAATAAAGGTCTGCGAGATTTTCACATTTACCCCACCCCCCCCCCCCCCACTCAGGGGCGTCGCTAAAGGGGGTGTGGGCGTACGACACCTCCACCTGTCAGGATAATTTCGGTAAAATGTTGCAGCTGTCGCCTGTCGGGAAAAACGAGAAAAAGGGGAGGGGGAAACAGAAAGGGGAAAGGGAAAGAAAAGAAAAAAAAAGGAAAAGAATAGAAAGGAAAGAAAGGAAAGAGAAGAGAAGAAAGAAAGAAAAAAGAGGAAGGAGAGGAAAGAAAGGAAAAGAAAGAAAAGAAAGGAAAGGAGAAAAGGGGGAAGAAAAAAAGAGACAAAGGAAACAAAAGTTACATAAAGAAAGAGAGGAGAGAGGGGGGTAAAGTCTGAGAGGAGAGGGGTGGGAATAAGAAAGAGAGACGGGGATGTTGGGCGGAGTCGCCACGTCGAGGGAGCAAGAAAAATACGCATATATTCGTTCGTTCGTGTCTCCTTAGATCAAGATTACTGTAATCTTGATCTTCGGAGTAGTTGCTACAACCGGCCGTGTCAGACACGTTGCCCCGGGGTGCGAGATAGGACTCTTGTAGCGTGCCCCCATTTAAAACAATTATACAGTTACAGTTAACAATACATTTAATTAATAGTATGAAACTATTAAAATTACTCTCATGTTACGGGAAACAATATGTTGCTGTGTCGGATCCGCTGTGTCAGTATTCTTGCTCGATCCTCGTGTAATAAATCAATGCAGAAGTTTGAAGTCGGTGAGATGTATTATGTCGCGGTCGGCCGGCAATTTTTTTCCCCTCGGAGAACTGTGACTTTTTATCGAATAAAGAAACATTTTTGAAAATTTTATGATTGAGAGTCGGTACAACGAATCGTCTTCTTTCTCTAATAATTTAATGAAACGTCAAAGCTTCGCGCGGCAGGAGAAAAACTGAAAAATAACTTAGTTCCTGGCCCCGGGTTTATAGGGTTAAATTTGTATAGAAATTGGGAGATTGGCATTAATATATTTGTCGGTAATTGGTGGCTAGTTTTGTCGGTAATCGGTGGCCTCTACACCCCCAATGAAAAAGCGGGTGAAAAAGGTCTAGCGATCGACGCCCCTGCCCCCACCTATTATGGTACCCTACTACCGCCCTATACTGCCATCCTGACTACCGCCCTAGTGCCCTACACGTTCTTCCAATTTACCTTTACTACCAAAGCTAAAGCTATGGTAATAATTTCCAAAACTCTTAGGAATTAAGCGTATATAGGGACGTTATATTATGTGATATATGCGCTAGCTATACAAGAACCGAATAACAATAAATAATACCACCCTCTGTTCTTCCATACTACCTATACTACCATCCTACCTCTACTACCATCCTACGTCTACTAACACCCCACTGTTCTTCCATCCTACCTCTGCTAAAAGGGGTACTTATGAGAATGGAAAATGGACACTTAATTGTTGCAAAGGAAAATGCATAATAGGAACTTGTCGAAGGAAACGGGGCACGTGTCAAAATAAAGCTAGGGCACATATCAGAGGTGAAAAGGGAAAGAGGCACTATTAAAAATTAATAGGGGCACTTTTCCAATGTAAATAAGGGCACTTTTGGGGTCAAAAGTTGGGGAAGCACTGTGCCCCCCCCCCCCTCCCACACAGCGGGCTTTACATTTCTGTGGTGGTAGAGTTCGAGGGATATATCCACAACCAGCGTTTCATACTCGATCCTGATTGATTTTCAGCAAAGTTACAAACGTAAACACATTCAACAAACAGTACACATGTGGACCGCGACCGGACCGGGTGCTGTTATTTTTTGAGCTGATCCTACGCGAAAACGTATAGGCCTAGGCCTACAACTAGATAACTTTGAGCTGGTGGTAAGCATCTGAATATTTAAATGTTGTTTTAACGGTCAAAGACAAAGTACATCAGGAGAAATCTGTTTCTTGTTCTTGTGCAATTTTGCAGCTAGCTAGTAGATCTAGGCACACATAGGAGCATCACTATCCTGGCTGTGTAAGCTGTGCTTTTGATTCTCAACATTTCAAACACCACTGTACAAAACTCAACTGATTTCACTCAAAATCAGTACTTTAGTGACAATTGATGACACCTAAATAGCAGTAAAATACATTTATTTCAACTTACTAATGTTAAAAAGAATAATTTAAAAATTCAAATTGTAAGTCTAGTGTCAAACTTTGCTTACAGCTGCATCGACATGATTGTGTACAGTCTATGCGATATTGTGTGGTGTGTGTATTTGTGTATAGACTTCTAGGTCCCTGCCTCACAGCATGTATGCAGTGCTAAAGGTCAATAAGCTTTAGCATTGACTCTCTTAGACCGAAAGCTTCAGTCTCTATAATCGTCGGTTGTTCCACTGAGACTACGTCTGGCTCCACTAGACCTCCGGTTATAGAGACAGAACGACTGCCTATGCCAGCCTGTGTTGAACTTATTCCGCTAGATTTTAGCCGCTAGGCCCCTCCCACAAACTTGCCACGGCCGTATTGTTATGCCCCCAAAATCCCCCAAAATGTCATTTTACCTCGTTCATTTCCAATTTTAAATTAGGCCTAGGCTATAATACATCGGTTCCACTTACTAACTTGATTGATATAATCCGTTTAATGGTCCCTTTTAAGGAAATTATCGGTCAAAATCGACATCCATGTTGAAAATCTTGCAAGCCGTTCGCTGCCGTCAATCTCATCCCTTCTAGTCTATGCCGAAGGCAAAATGATTATGAAGGAAATATTGTGCGCCATCTACACGTTCGTAATGGCGTTATCACAGTTTTTCCTTCATAATCATTTCGCCTTCGGCGTAGACTAGAAGGGATGAGATTGACGGCAGCGAACGGCTTGCAAGATTTTCAACATGGATGTCGATTTTGACCGATAATTTCCTTAAAAGGGACCATTAAACGGATTATATCAATCAAGTTAGTAAGTGGAACCGATGTATTATAGCCTAGGCCTAATTTAAAATTGGAAATGAACGAGGTAAAATGACATTTTGGGGGATTTTGGGGGCATAACAATACGGCCGTGGCAAGTTTGTGGGAGGGGCCTAGCGGCTAAAATCTAGCGGAATAAGTTCAACACAGGCTGGCATAGGCAGTCGTTCAGTCTCTATAACCGGAGGTCTAGTGGAGCCAGACGTAGTCTCAGTGGAACAACCGACGATTAGAGAGACTGAAGCTTTCGGTCTATGACTCTCTATGCTTTGCTGGAGTGGATCTA